CTGGCGGTCTCGCGATAAATCACACATATATCTAAGCCATAAATAATTTAGCATAATGAAACAAACTGATACTATCCACTTACTTGTCGTCACTTCACGGACTTCTAGGAAAGCATTGGCGGCAACTTTAGACTATTCAAATTTGCATTCTGTTCTTTGGCGATTAAGACGATGGATCCGGAACATTGTGAGTTTCTGGCTGAAGATGAAATGATCCAAGTAAGTGGATAGTATCAGTTTGTTTCATTATGCTAAATTATTTATGACTTAGATATACGTTTGATTTCTCGCGAGACCGCCAGATAATGGTTCTTATGTCACTTCAATTTTTTTTGTATTTATACGGGCCGTTTCCAATTAAAAGGACCCATGTAAATTGTATGTAAAAAGTATGGTCGCCCGGTTACAATCGGCACCAGATCTTCATACTAGGCGCTTTGCGCGAGAACTCGTCCGGTGTGAAACGAGGCTATATTAATGGCCAGATAGTGTTAGTTTGTAAGCAAACCATAGGTCAAGGTTCTTCACTTAGTGCTAGTCTACTACACTATTCCAATGAACGGAGGGTGAGGGGGAGGGAGCGAAACATTTGGTCGCTACCAAGTTTCCCCACATTCGCCACGGTGTTGATGTTGTTCCCTCATCTTCATTGGAACAGTGTAGTGGACTGACGAGTGACATGATATTACTAGCAAAGGAAACACGCTCTCATTAGAACAGCCATCATGGTGAAACAAAAGCAGCAAAGTGCAGACTTATGTTGCGGATGCTCGCGCGAGTCAGGAGGGCCGGGTTTGGCAGTGGACCAACCTGTCCTCCACCAGTTTCTAGAGAGGCAAGCGACAACAACCGGTGAAGAACAGCTGCGCGCGCTTTTCAACCCTGTCCCCCTGACGCGGCTAGCGCATAGGACATAGCAGTCTACGATATCAATGGGGTTTACATTTTGTGTGAAGGCAGCGCGAGGTCGCTGCCCAATTTCTTAGAGAGGGAACAGCCGCACTTCACCGGTTGCAAGAACAAGCGGCAGCCGCTGAACCCTGTCCCCTGGACGCTGCTAGCGCGACAATAGCATGTCTACGAATAATGGTGTTACATTTTTTGCGTGAAGGCAGGGGCGAGTCGCTGCAATTGTGCTTAAACCTCTGATAGCTATCTTGCCGCGCTTTCCCTTACTCGTGTCTGGCATGCAAGCTTAGTTCCTTATCCAGATACTATACTCGATAGGAACGAGCGGTTTGCACTTGTTTTGTTGGAGATGTCGGTCCACTCGAAGCTGGAGTTCCTGTGAAAGTTCCACTTTGGTTAGCAGTCGATCTCAGAAGGAAACAGCAGTGTGAAATAGTGGTTAGTTGTCTGTTCCTAATTAATCCACTCTGTTTCCTTGTACTTTCCGTTTACTTACTCATCTTTTTTTCTATTATTCGATAAATGTTTTTAGATTTACAGCGTTCTTCTGTTAAAAAGGAGATGTCTCGAAAGCGCAAAAAACCCTGGCCTAGAACTCAGACGTCGTGCCTATCTCAAAAGGGCATCTTAGTCTACTGCGTAAATCTTTACTTTGATTATCTCTCTTAGTTACTAGGGTGGTTAGAGATGGAAGGTGCGGTAAGGTCTGGAACGTCTCGATTCCTGCGCTCTAGTTTCGCTGCGGACGGTTGGGCGTCGTCAACCCAGTATGCGAGTGTGCACAGTTCATCGAGGCCGTCTCTGCCTTCTTGCTGAAACGCACAAAGCGACAAAAAAAGGTAGCTAGGAATAACGGAGCAATACGGAACATTATGATACAGTCATTGACACTTGGCCCGCTTCAAAAAGTGCTGGGAGAACGAGTTTGGCACCGCGCCAGACGTAGCCGCCCTGGCACGCCCAACCGTCCGCACTTGTCCCTTTACCAGCCTAATCCTCAAGAGCCTTGGTATGACCTTGCCTTGTTGTGATCGAAATTCTTCCCAAAGGATGGGTTTGACCAAAGTTAATGTCTGATGTAGTCCAGCCGGCTCACGAATATCTGATCCAGCAAGAGCCCCTTTGACTCCACCTTAGCCACTTGGCGCCACGCTCGTACGCTTGAGGAGTTTTTCAAAGATTTTTATATCTGGTGTGTACAAGGAACAACTTGTCACTTTGGTGCATAGTTTTTTAGGTTGATTGATAACTTGGAGTGTCTGGTGCTTCGACCCCTGTACTGCGCGGGACAGTCCTGCGAGCTTGTTATTTGTGTTTCCTTTGTCGAGCGAGGAGTAGGCTATCATTAGGAAATAAAACAGAAGCCAATCACATGCCCACGCCAGAGTATTTCGCATCATAATCCGACTAAGGTTTCGAAGTTTTTTTCCGTCATGAAAGTAGCCTCGTGCAAATTTCCTAGCTTGTGGATCCCATTCACCCTATTTTTCAAGTGTCACACCATTAGCAATCAGTATGGCAGACGTGCGGCGGTGTTCATCTTTCTGAAAATACAATTAGCATCGCCATTATCATAGAGGCTGATCTTTAATACCAATTTCAGCCGCCTTATTGGTTTTGTCTTGATGAGCTGAAGCGTCTCGTTGCAACAGAAGGTGAAACTGCTGGTCTTTCTCGGCTTCCACCATATATATTTGAAATCTCCCATATTCTCGTCAGGGCAGCCAAGGAAGACATAGTTGATGGTGATCAGGTTGGAGTTTCGTTGTTGTTAAAATTACCAAGGGTCGTACTTATTTGGTTCCCTTCATACTACGATTTTGAGGCTTCCCCTCACATCCCTGAATGTTTTTTTTGTAAATTGTTTTCTTTCCAGATAAAAGTTTTGATACAAGATTTGTGGGACAAACGTGAAGCGAAGTTACGAACGTCGTCGTTAAAGTTGCTCTCACAGGTATCCACCTTTTTGAAGATAATTTTTTAAGAATAGGATTGTTATTTCTCACTGCTTCTGCAAGCTCCATAGTGAGCATGGATATCGATTGATGCACACTACTTGACAATCTTTTGTTCGTAGACTAAAATGAAACACGGCACACATCGGCGCGGGAGAGGGGGGGAAGAGGGGGCATTTGCCCGGATTTGTGAAATATTGTGAAGCCATGGAGTGATGCAGTCAATTTTCGTAGAAACTACGCGACAACTCTTGTCAAGATTACTGCCCGCTCTTGTAAACTAATGAACACGACAATGGGGAGCAGCGAAAGTTCACAAGGCCCGCTGAAGCCCAACTGCGACTAAAAAGCTTGAAAGGCCGCAAGAGTTCTCTGCGATTAAGCGCATAGATTTGCCCTTTCGTCTTAAACAGAGTACATGAAAACCTGGTATACCACGGGTGTGCCTAACCTAACAAGGGACCTTTCAGATCATGATGTGCCTTTTAAA